CAAGGGTTGGAGCGCTCTCAGCCTCAAGCAAGCGAGAGAGCGAGAGAGCGCGAGAGAGAGAGAGAGAGAGAGCGAGACAGAGAGAGAGAGAGAAAGAGACAGAGAGAGAGAGAGAGACACAGAGAGAGAGAGAGAAGAAGAAAATCACGCCGACGTGAAGCATGTCTGCCTTTCTTCAAATGCAAGAAGCCCCCGCAACACTCAAAAGCACGACACTGACATGCAGACTTTTTCACGCTCGGCATCAGTCCACGCTTAGCGAACGCAAGAGACAGAGACATCACACATGGTGGCTCAGTCGGGTCGTCAGTGGAGTCAGTCACTTGTCGTCCAGATTCCAAGGACAGGGATTTCCTGTGGCCTGCTCGTGCTCAGTCCAAGCCCAGCGAATGCAAGCGACAGCTGCCTGACGCATGGTGGGCTTATTACTATCAGGCTGGCCAGCATCTCCAAAAACCATGGAGAAGGAGAATGGCGGCAGGTCGCGCGGGTACGAGATCTTGTACCTGTGGTGCCAGTCTCTTTCACGCGTCAGGTTGCAGCCACTGACTTCAGGCAAATAACGCCGTATCTCGTCCAGGTTCAGGACTTTCTTGTTCAGGAGTGGCGCGGCCTTCTTGCGGGCCTTGCTCTTTGCCTTGGCCTTGGCCTGAACAGGCTTCTTCCACTCCTTCGCCTCGTCTGCCAGAAGCTCTTCAAGCTCAGCAAAATCATCAGGCTCTAGAGCTTCTGCGGCGATGTCGAAACCATCTTGCAGAAGGCTTGCCTGCTTCAGCGGCTTCTGGCCACGCTTTGTCAGGATCTCCTTAAAATCAGCCTCTGTCATGGATGGCCAGCCATGACGGCACAGGAGGTGAAGGAGATCAGGCAGAAGACGTGGCACTCCCCGTCGGTCCAAGCCGAGGTAGTCAGCCAGCATCGTCAGTTGCGTCAGGGTGAAGCCGGGGAATCCGCTGCGGCATGCCACCCCAAACAGACCTGAGATGTCAGGTTTTTTTTGCAAGCTCAGTTAGTTGCTGCATGTGAATTAGAACAACTTATTTACACAACAAAATTGACAAAAGCATTGACTATTTTCGAGGAGACTGTAGCCAGTTTCATCAGGCTGAAAAATGATCTCGTTTTGCTGACCGTCAGGAGCTCGCACAGGTGGTACAGCTGTCAGTTTCCGCGCCTTCCAACCACCAGGATTGGTGATCGGCAGCAGCTCAGGTTTCTCAGCAGCTTGTGGCTCAAGGCGGAAACGATGGTGAGCATCAGGACCAGTAAGCTCCACCACGAGCGCACCATGAACACATGTGTTCAGGACCCAGTACCCTCGCTGTCCCAAATCAGGTCGCCACAACAAATGCCCAGGAATGGCCATCAGTGACAAGTAGGACTGCCGCATTCCTGTCAGGTTTGTTGCCTTCAGGAGTTGTAGAGTTGCGACACCACCCAGGTTGTACGAAGTCAGGCCGAAAGCCTCTGTGTCTGCAAGAAACTTTTTCAGGAACTCAGGGCCCAAACTGAAACCTGTGTCGGTGGCGACGCTTATCTTTCCGTTCGCCTGGAGGCCCTGACTGCGCGCTGCGGCGGCATGACGGATGTCAGGTGCCACCGTTGTGCGGCCGGCCATTTTCAGGACATCTGAGTGGATCAGCCTCGACCAGCGTCCCATTCGTGAAGTTTTCTCCGCATCTTCAGTCAGGGTCTTGAAGGCCTGCTCACAGACTCGGGACGTCGCCAAGGATCTGAAAACCTGCGCAGTGGACTCACTTAAATAATTAAATAGTGGGCAAATAACAGGCTTTGGCGGTTCAGGTCTAAAGTGTCAGAAGTTCAGTTTCACGACTACAGACTTTCAACGATCCATGCCTTGGTCAGCCTCTCAGTGATGTCAGGAGGCACGTGGTCGAAGTTGCACTCAGCCAGTGAGATCAAGACCTCACGGCAGAATGTGGACCGCGGCCATAGCAGTGAACGCAGGAAATTTGCCAGCCACTTGTCCTGAATCGCTGCAAGTTCAGCCTCGAGAAGCTTGGCCCACAGTGTCTTCAGTTCATCTAGACACTGTGAAACATCAGCAGCTTCAGATGACACCAACGCAGCAAAACAATATGGTGGACGAAAGCGGTACAGAAGCATTGAATTGTACTCCATGGCAAACATCCTGCGGGCCAGGTCTGACATCACTGAGGCCAAGTATGTGTCCTCTTTCAGGCTGTCGCCACCATTTGCTGCTCGGCTGGTGTTCAGGTTGAAACCAATCTCGCGAAGGACTTGCTGGTCGGTCAGAGTCAGCAAGACATCTTTCAGGTACTCTCTCAGAAACGTACCGCGAGATGCATTCACGTGCCACTCACGAACTCCATCCGCTGTATTGAAAGCTTTGCATTGCCTGAGACACCGATTTCGCCTCAAAAACTCGCATCCTAGTTACTTGTTACTTAGTACAAAACACAATGCAAACCTGAACTGGTGAAAGACATACAGAGTCATTGAAAACAAGTAGCTCAGCATGTGCAACATACAGCGGGTAGGCGACCTTCGACATCATCACTGCAGTTGCACGTTTACAGCGGTCAGCCAGCCACCACAGGCACATTTGCATGGTGTTTTTGAATTTTTTGCTCAGCTTTGTTCTTTCCAGCTGTAGCTGTGATTGTTTCATGCCGACCTGCGCAGGGTTATGATCAGGATCTGGAGCTCCGGCCCTGGAGGAGGAGGAAAGCGCTGCTTCAGCTTGCTGATCGTCAGCCTGGTTCTCATTCTCAGGGTCGGCAGCTTCTGAGGAGTCCTGCATTCAGTCAGTGGGCTCAGGAAAAGAACACTTGGTGGAAACGATACCATCAGGAAACTGCTTCAGGCTAACCTACCAAATCTGCCCGCTGGCCTGGTCCATCAGGCTTGTGAAGGATCTCCCTCCAAGTGGCGTGTCATAGATTGACTTGTACCACTGCTCAGAAAAACTGTAGACCATGATTGCGAAGAAGAGCGGGCCAGAGAACCTTGTCAGTCGTGCTGCTTTGGCCGTGAAGTTGTGCCATCGACTCAGTTTCACTGTCTCGTACTTCTTCTGGAAAACATCAGCTGTTTTCACCCAGTGCCATACGTCAGCCTGGTGTTCATGACTGCCAAAATTCCACGGCCTGTCATTGCCATGTTTGGAATCAGACAGAAAATCGTAGCAGGACTGAAACAGCGGGTGCTCAGGCGTCTGCATGGTCATGAACTGTTCCAAAGCACCAGCAAGCTTGCCCAGGTTTCCAGACCCTTGCCAAGGCCCCCCCATCAGATTGAGGCAGATCAGGGCTTCGACCTTCGTGGCATTCAGGCCGGCCTTGCACAGGCTGTGAAAGAGATCAGAATCAGTGTCAAGCATGTCGGGTCAGGGTCCTAGCATTAGTCAGTCAGTCAGTCAGTCTCAGATTGTACTTTAGGCTTTGGACCGGTGCCTGCTTGAAGACGAGTTTCACGTTATTGTCTCTTCTGTGGACAATATCGAGCCACTCGACCATCCCTTGGCAGGTCCATCAGATAACCACAAGCAGGCTTAGCAAGGACTGTGAAAATAATCACATCAGTGCAAATAAAGTAATACATGCTGAACGCCCACCAAAACTCTCAGGTGTTCATTGTAATGGCAATGGCATCTGCCGGTCCAGGCAGCACTGCCTTGATCTATAAAGTTCAGTATGAGCGGGGCTTGGACGTCATGAATTGCTTCCACTTCAGTGTCCCCATTGGCGAGCCGTCGACATAAGCGCTTGAGGCGCCCAGGGGCTTCATTCAGGACCTGCTGCAATGAGTCAGTCTGGTGGGCAAAAGAAACATAGACTGATGGACCAAGCAGGAGCAAGACTGGCCCTTGCCGGCCTCTTCAGGTAGGTCAGCTGCTGCAACTTCAAAGTGTGCTTCACCCAGAGCCAATGGTCTTGGAGCTTTC